TTTGGCCTTATGACTCATTGTGTACTGTTTTCCTAAAAAAATGTTTCTTGTGAATGTCTTACAAAGCTTCTTGCCTGGAGGTCCTTCCAGGATCAGCTCTTCCTGTTTCAGGAAGACAATACGAAGGGGGTTATTTACTTAGCTCCTTAAGGCAGCCGAGTGAATAACAGAGCCGAAGTGAAGTGAGCCGATCGCCGTTCAGCTATTCACTTCAAGTCCTGCACGGCTGATTTCAGCTGTACATTGGCTGCCTTTGGCTGAGCCAAAGCGCAGAAACAGTTCGACTCAGCCGATCCAACATCTGGTTCGGCTGAGCCAAAGCTCCGGCAGTTCACTCACTACTGTTCGTCCCTATTCTCATAGGGGCCGAACGGCGGTGAGTGAATAGCCAAATGCCGCCGAGCATTATTCGGCTCGGCTATTCTGCTTGCTACTTCCGAGGTAGCGAGCATAATAGAAAATGTAAACAAAAGAAAACAAATGTATACAAATTGTTTAAATAAAAGGAAAAAAAAAGAAATTAAAAAAGTTAAGAAAATAATAAAAAAAATGTAAAGAAAAAAAAACAGCGTGGGGTCCCCCTCCCAAACAATACCAGCCTCTTTAAGTCTGGTAGGAATTTTAGGAGTTACCCCAAGTAAAAAAAAAAGTGCGTGGGGTTCTCACCCAAAGTCATACCAGGCCCTTTAGGTCAGATAGGAATTTTAAGGAGGAACCCTACCCCCAAAACATTGGGGGGAAAACGTGGGGTCCCCCTAAAATTCCCAACCAGACCCTTGATCCGATCACAGGCCTGGCAGGGCAGGAAAGTGTCATACCAGGCCACATGCCCCCAGCACTGGGAGGGTGCTCTTCCAAGGTCCCCCCTGGAAAAGCACCTTGTCCCCATGCAGATGGGGACAAGGGCCTCTTCCCCACAAGTTCTGGGGCAGACAGGGGGGCTTATTCACATCAGGGTACCCTTTTAATAAAGGGGCACCCAGATGCGGCCCCCCCTTGTGAATGAGTAAGCGGTACTTACAACCCTACCTATTCACTAAAGGGTTAAATAAAAGATAAATAAAAAGTCCAAACTTTTAGGGAAAATCCTTTCATTGAAAAAAAAAACTCAACAAAAGGAGTTTGACAATTCCTTTATTGTAAAAAAAAATATATCTCAAAAATGGATTTACCAGCGTAATCCAGGGTCAATCACGACATCCAGCGTTGTCCACGACAATGACAACTCGGCAAAATAATAAATAATTTACAAATATTTTTTTTTTTAAAAACGCCACCCGCCGACCCATCCGCACGCAACGAACTCCCGCAGCAGAATTAAATTCTGACAGATGCCGGCAAAATATAAACAATTGGGCGGAGCTAGTGGTGATATCACTGCTAGCTTCGTCCAACTGTTTACATTTGTCTGGCACATGACAGTCTGCCTGCAGGTCCCGGACAAATCAAAACACATGGGGGAGCCAGCGGTGACATCACGGCTGGCTCCGCCCAACTGTTGTCATTTGCGGGTAAAACGGTCGGCTTCGGCCGACCTTTCTCCCCGCTTCGGCTGTCACTACGGCTCAGCCGAGCCGAAGCATATGCGTTTGGCTGCTGTACCGGAATAGCCCGTACAGCTGCCCTTTGGTTCGACTGAAGCGAAGGGCTCCAGCGGGTGAAGCGAGCCGAAGGATCAGCCGAAGCTATGGCTAGATTCTTCTGCAGGTAAGTGAATAACCCTCTTAGCCACTGCCATGCAAGGAGCAGTGATGCCAGCCTGCCCTGTACATTCCTAGAGCTTGCCACTGGGCTGCCGATCTGGTCAATCACATAAGCAGCCAACCGACCAACTGAAGATGCTTGCACAGCAAGCTGACAGCGTTTCTGCTAATTGTGAGGCAGTGGCTCAGTGTTGTCAGCCTGAAACAGGAATTACTTTTACTGGCAGGATCTTAGGGTTAGAAACTTTGCAACAGATTCACAAAAAAAAATGATTTGCTTACTAAAACTGTATAGTTAGACATGATGCCAGTCATACTGAAAAATAGATTTTGGGTTTGCATACAGTTTATCTATTCCAAAATATGATAGGGGACTTGCAGCTGCTTGAAAGGAGAATATGTTCATGTTTTTCACAGCATTTGCTTCTTTCTTACATATAGTTCCACTTTGAGTCCTGCCCACAAATATTGACTGCAACACTGTACATGGAATGCCATGCAACCCAGCTAAGGTCTGGTTCACACCTAGGCGTTTTTAAGCAGAGGAAAATTTCTTGCTCAACACAAGAAATCCCAGGATTTTCAGTAGCCCCTGTTCACACCTGAGCAGCAACACTCCAGCAGCAAAACGACAAATGCTGAGAAAAAAAAAAGCACATGAGCTTCTTTTGGCAGTTTGCAGCTCGTTTTCCCCCATAGACTTCAACGGAAACACCAGGAAACGCGCATCAGAAACATGTTGCAAATTTTTTTTGCGCGTTTGAACCCGCTTTCATCCATTGACCACAATGTTTCTTAAATGGTCAATCAAAAAGTGTGTTTTCCTGCTCCTTCATGGCATGCTGTGGTTTCTACCAGCTTCTCATACATCTCTACAAAACATGTCAGCAGGTGGGAAGAAGTGACATGGATGTCAGCAAGAAGAGCCAATTAGAACTGAGGGGAATCCAGGAGATCAACAATCCAAGAAGTGTAATTTTCCCAGCAAAATTCCACCTCCAGCCCCTTCCACACTGTATATGGCTCATATAAGCAGGTAATGCTAAGATATATAAGATAGTGATATTCTGAGATCCTGTGTTACAGTCCAACAGCAAACTATTTCACAGACTAATCCTCAAAGCATGTAACATATAATCAAAGTGGATGCATATAGAATAACCGAATACTTCAAATGTCACACAATATACACTAAAACCTTTACAGCAAGAACCAAGTACAGTGTTACCATTCCCCATATATTTTCCTTCACAACAATATGATTACTGCTAAATCAAAATGTAAATGTGTGGTGCAGTGGTGGTGCCTCGATTACACTCATGAGAATAGAATTCATGATTAAGGTAAATTCAGATGAAACCATATACAGTACAGCAGGGCTCAAAATTTCAAGTCCTGAGCTACTAGCCAGGCCTTAAGCCGCGAAGCCGTACGCGGTCTGCAACCGTGTACCTGACATGTCAGCTGGCTGTGGGCAACATAGTACCGGCTCGCGGGCCAGAGTTGGGCCGCGGACCGGTACTTGGAGACCCAAATTTCCACTCGCCCTCACCTTATTTTTACTCGCAAAATGCGAGCAGACGAGTGGAAATTCTGAGCCCTGCAGTACAGTATACCCATGGCATGGTCATTCAATAAAGACCTAAGTGGTGAATTCAGCTATCTGATGAGTATTGTCCGTGGTGATTGTATCTGTTACAGGCCAGGTATAGAGGTATCAGGAAGGGATACATTAATATTTAAACACCTTAGAGTCAGAATAGTACCATTTGTCACATTTACCAATGAAGCAGGAAGTAAACATACCATATATGTTATCCATTTACAAATATTGTTATCTTTTAATCTAAAATGTAAAAAATAGTTACACTGTAATGTTCCCTATTATAATCTAGTTCTCTGATTAAATGATTAGATGGGGCCGCTGTTCTATCAAGCATTCCAAGCTTTCTCAGCTGTTCCAGGGCAGATCGGCATCGCAAATCGTATGTGCAGAAGAACCGTTCTGACCTGGAACAGCTGTTCGGTCCTGAAATCATTCTATCCGACTTTGTGAGTGGGGTGGAATGTAAGCTGGCACTCACAGAGTCCGATAGAAGTGACATTTCAGGACTCAACAGCTGTTCCAGGGCAGATCAGTTCTCCTGCACATTCCTTTTTGCGATGCTGATCTGCCCTGGAACAGCTGAGAAAGTGTTGGAATGCTTGACCTATTGGTGGTCACACATTCCACCACCAAAAAACTGGGCGGGATTACATTGAAATGTGTGACCACATCACCGGTCACACATTGTAACGTAGTCACAAACTTTAATAGAACACCGCCATCAGGGGGGTACGGCCGATACCCAAGTGAGGGGTCTGGGCAGCCTGGGGGCCTCTCACATGAGTATCAGCTGTACCAGGGGTGTCATGGCAGAGGTGACAGGGGAGGGGTGGAGGAGGCAAGGCCACAGCAGCAGTAGGTAAGAGGAGTTGGGAGGAGGTATAGGCAAAGGGACCCCGGGAACCAGCCCACCTGAGGCCCTGCAGAGCCCACCATAGAGAGTCTCAGATGGGCTGTGAAGGATCTATGGTGTGCCCTGCAGGGTCACTCTTAGGTGGGCTCTGCGGGGTCTCAAGTAAGCCCAGAGTCCAGTGCGTTACTAAGCCCAGAGTCCAGTGCGTTACTAAGCCCAGAGTCCAGTGCGTTACTAAGCCCAGAGTCCAGTGTGTTACTAAGCCCACATTTACCTATATACATGCTATACATAGCATAAAGGTAAATAAATTATATATGACGTGTTATCTTCATTTTAGATGTCAAAGGGTTTTGTGGCTCCCGGTGTTTTCTTTTTTGTGGGAAACGGGTCCAAATGGCTCTTTGAGTGTTTAAGGTTGCTGACCCTTGGCCTAGACGATCAGAAGTGATACATTTCAGGCACAGAGATACATTGTAACTGTGCCTGAAATGTATCATAGTAAAAGAAACAGGTCACCAGCACTTGTTTAGAATAAATATGTCCTTTTTTAATGGGCAATTGTGTCACTACAATCAACAGAGCAGACGTTTCGGGGCCGCACAGGGTCCCTTCTTCAAGGCAGTAAAATTGTGACAGAGTAATGGTATAAGACGACGCAATGGTGGTGCTTCCTCACGTGGGGGAACAAGACAGCGTTTCAACAAACGAAACAGCAGCTCCAGTGGGAGCGAACGACCCACTGAAAATCTGCCCACGAATAGTGACACACCTACAACATCAATACAGGACACCACTGCCACCACTGGAACAGCCCCCTCATCTACTCCTTTTTTAGGAAGGACTGGAAGAAACGCACAAGACGAGGCAACAAGAAGAAGAAACTCGGGGCCATCCATCAATACGAGACAACAAAAACTCAAGAATGTCCGATAATCAATCTGTCATCCAGAACCCTCTCCGACAGTGAAAATCATGTCCTTAGTAAGGGATTTTCATTCTGTCCATCCCCAGCATTTAATGACTTCCAGTTTGAAATAGACACCTTCAAACTTGAACGTGCTTTGAAATTAAAACAACACTTCAGTCACCATTCTTGTACCAAAGGTATAGACTCCTCTACCAACAAGTTTAAGAACAAAAGCTCATTCATTCCATCGGGCCAATTTGCTTCAATTGAGACCTACATTAAAACCGTCAGATATGACACTCGCAACATTACGGATCGAAGAAGGATACATAAGCCACAATGCCATTCGAATCTGACACGAGTTGAATTAAATGCCCTAAAATCACTACAGCAAGATGATTCTATTATCATGAAACCCGCCGATAAAGGAGGAGCTATCATTATTATGGACTATGCAAACTACAAAATGGGCATAGATAATCTTCCATCCGATTTATCCACATATCTCCAAATTCCACGTGACACTCTAACCTCGATTCTTAACAAATTGTCGTCTTTAACCAACCTAGCCTTGGACCAGAGATGGATATCTGAGGGTATTGCTGAGTGGTTGTATAATGAATATGCTCGTACACCGGTAGTATATGGCCTACCAAAGATTCACAAGGGGCACGACCCACTTACCTTCAGGCCCATTGTGGCCGGGACAGGCTCAGTATTACAGCCATTGTCTATGCTATTAGACCACTTCTTGCATCCAATGGTGAAGGATCTCCATTCCTATACTCGAGATACCAATGACTTTATAAAAAAATTGAGAGATATTGATACTATTCACCCCGGATGGAGTCTACTAACTATGGATATATCTGTATTATACACCTGTATCCCTACAGATGAAGGTTTGCAGGCAGTAGAGTATTTTCTATCCCGGAGAGAGGTAACATCTCCACCAACGGCCTTCATACTTGAGGGGTTAAGGATGGTACTCGAAAACAACTACTTCTGTTTTGAGAAACAATATTTCCTCCAGACAAAGGGCACTGCCATGGGCAGCTCGGGTGCCCCCTCATATGCAAATCTATTTATAGGCTATCTGGAAGAATGCTCTATTTATCCATGTGAACTGTTTGAACACGTGAGACTATGGACAAGGTATATAGATGACATTTTTGTGGTTTGGTTAGGGCCCAAGGAAGATATACAGATCTTTGTAGAATATCTCAACACTCTTGCAGTGGGCATTGTATTCAATCCAGAGGTGTCATCTTCCAGGATTTCATTCCTGGATGTAATGGTAATAATTGACCAAGGAAAGTTTTCAACCTCATTATACACAAAACCCACTGATCGCAATGCGCTGCTCTCCTACAGCAGTGCACACCCCAACAGACTGAGAGACTCATTACCAGTCTCCCAGTTTGTTCGGGTTATGCGCATTTGCTCGGATGCTGCTGACTGCGAAACACAACTACAGTGTATATATAACAAATTCAGTGATAGAGGTTATCCGAAACATATACTTGAACATACACTTGAAGTGGCTAGGAATAGGTTCTGTACCCCTAAACCAAAGGAGATGAGCTCTAATGATCTGCTCTTTATTACGAAGTTTAATCCCTATTCATATCAGGTCAAGCGTACCGTACAACGTAATATGAATATCTTGAAAGCTGACAGGACTTTGGCCCCTGTTGTTAAACACACACCTCGCGTGGTTTACTCTTGTAATAGATCTTTACGTGACCATTTAGTCTGTGCTGACCCCCACTTAAAATATGGCACTATACCATATAAATTATCTACCAGGCAGGGATGTTACAGGTGCCACAATTGTAGTGTCTGCAACTCTCTCATTACTGGTGACTCTTTATTTCATCCTTATACAGGAAAAAAATACTCTATCCACAGCTATTTGAATTGTGTGTCTGAATACTGTGTATATCTATTAAAATGTCCCTGCTCACTGGATTACGTGGGAAAAACTATCAATGCTTTTAAAAAACGGTACCAAAAACATAAAAGTGATATAAAACTAGCAATTGAATACAAACAACAAGGAAAGTATATAGACCCAAACAAACCAGTGGCAATACACTTTGCACAATTAAACCATCAAACACACGAACTCAAAGCAATGGTTATCGAACACATACCGAGACCACATAGAGGCGGCAATAGAGACAACATACTATTACGCAGGGAAGCTTACTGGATCCATACGTTGAATACAGTAAAACCAAGAGGACTTAATTCTTCTCTATCTTTGTCCTGCTTCCTTGTCGATTAAATTGTCTGATGTTTATATTTCTTGATCTTTACAATAATAGGCACCTTAGTCAATGATTAATACTGATGTTTCATTTTAATACATTGGAGAATTTTTACTATCTATTTTTGGTTCTATATATGTATGGGACACCCATCTATATGTTTGGGTCCTCCATAGATAACTAATTCATGCTAATTCTCCTGACACTCTTTTGATACATCTTAAAGATTTTTGGGCTGATTCTCTGTTTTGTTCTCATGTTTTATTGGGTGTATATGTCATGTATGTACGCTGTATCACTCGGTTTGTATGTTCCCTGTCTTGGTTCTTTATATGTAAATGTAGATATATTATCTCCTTTAATATCATTCTTTTTGTGCACACCTCTATTTTATACTTATTATATAATCTGTTTTCTCCCCCACTCTGATCTTGGAACGTTCATTGCGGTATATGTATAGTGTGGACATCAGCTCTCTTGTTTTTCCCACACCCAGGTTGTAATTGACATATGTAGCCTCGGCATCTAAGCCGTATGATGGTCGAGAATTGTATCTCTCCATCACCTTAGTAACCATGACGCACATTGCACGCGCCGACATATTATGACGAGGGGCGATGGCGGACATACTGTCTAGGGATGCTGGATCATAATGCCGCTGTCTCTAGACTGTCGTGCATACCTGCCGTAGCGATGTCAGACACTCTACCTACCGCAGCGTTCCTTTGGATCATCAGATTGTGGGTACAGTTAACTTATTATCTTAAATGAATTTGAATATGTTTTTTTTCTCCCTTTTTTTATATAGTGAGATTTTGACTTTTAAAGATGGCGTTTTTCCCGCCTTTTTGACATCACTGAGGGTGTGGTTACCAATGATTCACTAATTATATGGGGTATATATGTAGTGTGTGAATACCATTACTCTGTCACAATTTTACTGCCTTGAAGAAGGGACCCTGTGCGGCCCCGAAATGTCGGCTCTGTTGATTGTAGTGACACAATTGTCCATTAAAAAAGGACATATTTATTCTAAACGAGTGCTGGTGACCTGTTTCTTTTACTTCGTATTTTGCACGGTGCCATCCGTGATAGTCATTGCGAGCACCACCGTTCTTATTTGGCCAGGACTGCTGTAAGGTGTGCGGAGAGGACCCCCACCACCTGAAATGTATCATAAACATCAGGCCAGTCTATGGAGCTGTCAAAACGAATAGCAGAGAGGTGACTCACTCTGCTACCTTTCTGCTATCTTCAGCTGTCAAATACGGGATCGCTATTTAGCGATCCCGTATGTGTATGTAACGGCTTCATTCTTCCATTAAAGTAGAACTATAGGGTCAGGGCTTTTCCCCATAGTTCTCCTAAGGGTAACGGGAGGACACAGACTAGCATCCTGTCGCATCCTGACTAGCTGTAGCTCGCGGTATACTGAGACGCCGGTATGGATCCCGACAATACTGTCTGGATCCACCCAGCTGCGTGAGTGACAGCTGCCTATCTAGAGGCAGAGCCAGCTGTACCCGCCCCCTCCCCCATCCATTCCGCCAGTCAGCGCTGGAGGATTGGACAAGGGAGGGGGGGAATCCCTGCAGAGAGCCGTGAGTGTCAGTCACGGCTCTCTGCAGGGATAGATAGAGAAGTGAGCGACGGTTTGTGTTCACTTACTTCCCGATCTACTGAGCCGACGTGTGACAGTTTCATTGTCACAGGTCAGCTAGAACTACGAGGCTGAGTGATTTTCACTCGCCTCATAGTTCTCCTTTAATGAAAGAAAGAAGCTTTTACAAAAGCTTAACTATTTCATTAATGAATGCCTCAATACTGAAGCATTCATTAATGAATGGTAACCGCTGAGTATCAGTGGTTACCGGCATTACAGAGCCTTAAATAACTCGTCACATACAGTGTACGTGGCCAGTCAAATAGGCACTTCGTGGCGGGACGTACACTGTACTCCTTTCAGCACTGACAGAAAAGGAAGTCTTTTGATGCCAAACAATAAAAGTCAACCATTACAATGGATATGCAAGAAAAAGGCATTGCAACACCAGATGAGGTCATTTATCAAGGTACAGCTGTCTGCTAAGCAACAAGCTCTGTTACAGTATATAAACATTTTACTACAGTGCATTTACATTTTACAAAGAGATGTGTAAGATAAGCAAATTCGATAACATTCGTTATGTCGATAGCATTTGTATAATTACTTTAAGTGTTGAAGATTGTACCGGCTTTGTAATATAAAATCATGAAAGGAGTTCTAAACATATGAAAATATGTTTTCTCTCAGCCTATTTAAAGGGTCCATTACATTGCATAGAGTACAGGTGAGCTGGCTGGAGGAGAGAGCTGACCTCATCGCTGTTTTGCTTCTACCTCACTATCCAATCATAGGCTTAGATTAGTCCTTGACTGTGCTGTATTGCTTTAACTGAAGACAAAAAAAGTGAGGGTAGATTCTGACCATACAGCATTGCCACATTTCGCTTTCCTAATCTTTCTCAGCATAACAACATGTTTACTATTAAATTAAGGGCCCATGTGTGTTTACTATTAATTAAACGGCCGACCCCAGGGCCCAAATGTACATGCAGTGCTGCAGTCCTAAATTGCTGTATTTGGTTCAAAGGGATAGAAACTGATTTATGGTTGACTGTCATTTAATAGCAACCAGGCATCAAACAAGCTTTTCCATTTCTTAAAGAACCACCATAGTGAAAAATATTGTATCCTGGTGATTGTATGGGGTTATTACCTGTAATTATATTATTTAGTTTTTTAATTCATGATTGTATTTCAAATGCACTGATTTATATTTTTCTCTAAGTTTACATGCAGACCAAGCTATCTAGCAAAAGTGACAGTGAACATGTATACTGTATATAGCCCAAACTTTTTTATTTAGATAGAATAGGGAAGGGTTAAAACCCCAAACTACTTTATTGATGTCTGTGTACCATTGGGTAACTTTCCCTTCTCTTACTGTCCCAGAGACACAACAAAACTTATATCCTGTAAAAGGGAGGCGAATTCCCCTCTTAGATAATAAGCTGAAACTGTTGGCGCTATATAAATCCTGTATAATATAATAATAATTGTCCCTGGAACAGATGTCCTCATTAGAAGATGTCACCTTATCACTTCTTCTGGGGACAACTCTAATATGTTGAATTTCTTCTCACTCCTTTGTCGGTGACAACGGTAACCAGTACAAACAGAGGAATATCTCTCCAATGTGGACAGCAATAAAAATCTAGAGGGTCTAATCCTTCCCAACTGTATACATACAAGAAAAATAGGCAGAGGTAGTTCAGATGGCAGGGGTGTGGAAATTTTCTAAAAAACTACTTGTCCAAGGACTAAAACGGGGGCCCAATCTTGTCTCTCATGACAATCTACTTGTCAAGACACAAAAAATAATTTTAACCAAAACTGTATTTAACTGTTCTAAGAAGTGGTTCTCATTGGTCAGCGCGCTCACTGCGTCCAGGGATAGTGATCTCTTTCCAACCGCATGCAATCGTATCACATACATTTACATGCGATCTGCCAGAGTTTTGACACTTTCAAATGTATCTGTCTGTCAATTCCCAGAGAATTTTTGTACAAGTCATTCTGAATTGAGAAAGCTGGTTGGATGACCAGTGAAACGTCTTCAAGAAAAATACAGCAAGACCAGTTGCCTTGACTTATTTTTTACAGATATTTCAAATGTATCATTAACTTGAATGGGTGACAGCTGCCGCTTGTAAATGGAAGATTTGGAATCCCTGCTGCAGGGAATCGCAAGTTCCTGCCCAAATCACACCTAGTTGGTAGGTGTGAATGAAGCCTCATAAATGATGTAGGTAGGGCTGACAACAGGTGATTTGGAATTCAGAGCCCTAAATACACTGAGGGGGATTTATCAAAACTGGAGCAGACAGAATCTCTAGCAGCTGTGCCGGGCAACCAATCAGCTTCTCTCTTCAGCCTGTTCAGTTAAGATTTGAAAATGAAAGATAGAAGCTGATTGGTTGCCATGCACAGCTGCTCCAGATTTTGTCTGTTCCAGTTTTGATACATTCTCCTCACTGTGTTGTCATGCCAACACAGTGTGTTTATAGAGACACAACATGGGGAAATTTGCATGTACTGCAGAGATGTACAAGTATGCTTTGCTTTATGGAATGTTTGCGTAACATGTAAAGGAAGCGAATCACTTTCTTGTCATAATGATTTTATGATTTCCGTTTACAGTTTGACAATTGGGTTTTCTAGACAAAATCTCAATAAGTGTTACGTAACTCTCTGAATGGGCAAAGTCTAACTCAGAGCAGGAATATAAAAATGAAGCTGAACAAATCTTACTTTCAGTTCAATCACGGAAACAAATGGCTAATCATTGGCTGTTACTGCTGCTTCTTCTCCAGGATATCCATGGACTGGTAAATGTGATCTGCCATATACATATATTTCTATTATTATTTTTGGTATATCCGCGCTTCACTTCCCTTTTCTGATGAATATGAGAATGTTTGAAGAAGCAACACATTAATATGTGTGTGTAAAAATCATTGGCATCCATTCACTAAACTGTATGAGCTGAGTCAGAAGTAGGCAACTTCAGCATTCCAGCTGTTGTGGAACTGCAAGTTCCATGAGGCATTGCAAGACTCTGACAGCCACGACTTACAGAGGCAAAGGCATGATGGAATTTGTAGTTTCTCCATGGCTAGAGTGCCAAGGTTGCCTACCCCTGGGCTATGCTGTATTATTGATATCCTAGACCTAACAAACTGATGAATCAAAGTGTTCTGTGTGTATTAGTATCACCTATTGTTATTGTGTCGCTTGACAAGCTGTTCTGAAAGAGATAAGCACTCGTTTTGTTCACTACCTCAGACCACACTATAATGGATACCGCACATTGACACCGCATAGATGCCAATAGATTGATTTACTAGTGTTTACCTCAAGCAATGCAACAGTACTAACCTCCCCTGATTTACTTAAAGTATAGGTAAACCCACTTAATAAAATCTCATTTAAGCTTTAGCATGTTATTGTAATTGTAGAGTTATAACCAAATGTTTTACATCTGCAGCGATCATTAAAATGATACCTGCAAATCCTACCTTAAAGGTCCTTGCCCACTTACTGATATAGGATGACAATGTAATGTGACTGTTTCTCAGCAGTGATCCTGCTTTGTCACCCTGTAACATGTTCTTCCAATGGAGACTACAAATGACCATATCAACACACATTACACAGGCATAGTCCACTGTTATTTCAATCTGGTCCACTGGTCCACTGTTATGGTCATCAGGAAATCCACCCTGAAAATGTCATGCAGACATTGCTAGACTGCATGTAGATGACCAGTTGCTGAAAAGAGGCTGTGGAAAATCATCATTTACATGGTGAAAGTATTGCATTAACCATTTCAGCTCTTGCACCTGTGTAGCCCGCATGGGCAAGACTTTTACCTATGCTGACACTTCAATAAAATAGCCACAATTAGTTAAATATTACATATATTCA